TAAATAAGTTGATTACTACACATTTAAAAAAATGAATGCCATTTTAGTTTTTTGTTACTTTGTTCTGAAAGCTGAACCTGCTGCTCCTCACAGAGATAAGAGGGAAGAGGCTGTGTGAATTACTTTACATTGTGGATAAGGGTGGATAGCCCCCATTGTTCTGTGTGTCAAAATGAAAGACAGCCAACACACCTATCAATCATCAAACCGTGGGGTCTTATTTCATTACATGTTGATTTCTCTCAACACGTAATGTTGTAATGTTGTATCGATGTATATATAGATCATGGATGTATAATAAGATATAGATGTATTACAGCAACAGTATTCTCCGTCGGGGCTTCCTGCAACAACACCACGCCGTTATCTTGATTCTGATTGGCCAGAAGACATGATCAAAGATGTTCTATTGAGAAGACGATCACTACGTGACAAAAGTTTTCAAAACCGTTTCTAGTCTTCGGTATTTCCAGACAAGTGGCTACTGAAATCAATCTTACTAACTGCTGTCTGTGCAATTTGCTCCGCGCGAGTTGGCGGACTTTATTTGGCTTACTTTAACATCATTTTTCATGGTGGGGCTAAGCCATTTCTTGGTATGGCTGTAGCCTACCCCAGCCATACCCTGGCGCCACCACTGCTTCCAAAACACGTCACACATTGTTTCTGATACAGCGACGTTTCTGATATGGTCATGGACGTAAAGCCAGCCCACATTTTAGTAATGCCATGACCGCAGCAAATCTGGATCAGCTCCGTTGTACCCCCGTTTTTAGAGATGTGGGTAAGGAGGAAAAGAGAAAGGGTTGTATTTTTGGAGTCTCCTTACACACCGGGGGCACATATTTAAGTATAAAAGACATCAAAAAGTGCATTTTGCATAAAGGGGATCTTTAAGGAATTCACTCTGAATTGAATAATCCTCAATTTATTCCTCCCATTTTTTTTTAAAACCTGTGTGCTGTCAGCTGTTGTCTGACAAACAATAATGGAAACAAATAGAATTGATTTAAAAAGTAAATCAAAACATTAATTTACCTTAACAACTGACAACTGACCAAAGTAAAGTTACACAAAGTTTAAGAATTATTATACTGTATACATGTGTATGTGCGTGAAATTGATAGGACATTTAAAGGGTTACATTTGATTTACCCAAAGTCTTTGATGTTTTTTGTAGCTCCTTATCTTCTTTGTAATTTCTTTGATTTCAAGAGCATCCGGCATGCTGAGCTTTTGCCAGTCTACTCCTGGGGAAGGAAGAGATCTTAAACTACAGAATCCAGTAATAAAATAGTCAAATCACTACTCTGAATTGAACCATATTTTACTAAATGAATATCATGCTGTATTGGAAAATACATTAAACTAGTGACTGAGACAATAAACTTGCTAGGAAAATGTTTTCTTATGTAATAATTTAAGTAAGAAGTAGGCTAATTTTTCTCATAGACTTCTATGCAACTAGACTTATTATTGGAACCACTGGCGTAGCCCCCTGCTGGCCATTAGTGAAAATTAATTAATTTAGTCACTTATTAGTAATAGCATTTTTCATGACTCACAGAAGCTTCAGACATTCACCAGTAGGGTATTTATTGACATTCGTTATGTCATAGAACAAAATTGGAAAATCTCACAAGCTTTATTTTAGGCTTCTAACCACAAACACATTATAGTAATTTCCGAGTTTAAGGACTCGGCTGCATTACTCTCTAATTAGACCCGGAAGTTTCCGCTTGCTCTAGAGCCGTACTGCAGCTCTCCCTCCAGCTCAGCATTCTGCACATATCCCGTACGTTTCTGCTGTTTCAGCTATATCCTCAACTTCCTGCGGACGTCAGAGCTGACGCTGCCGTGCGACTTCAAGGAGACTGAGCTGCTCAGGAAGGAGGCTGACTTCTATCAGATCGAGCCCCTGATTCAGTGCCTGATAGACCCCAAACCCCTGCTTCCCTATCCCACAGACCCCTACGAGGAGGTGGTGGAGCTGTCCAGCACCAGAAAGCTGTCAAAGTATTCCAACCCGGTCAAAGTCTTAATCACGCAGCTCACCATCACCACCAACGTCAGTGGGAACAGGCGGGTTCGTGTTGATGTAGGAAGATATATCACCGCATCATCTTATTTTTCATGAGACCCTCCTTTCTTCTTCTTTAAAATGTTTTATCTCTTTGATATGGTTGGCTTAATAAAAATGGACATCTCTTCCCCTCTGTTGAAATGTTTTAATTGACTATGTTTGCACTCATATATATAGCTAACAGTACTTCCTGTATTTTTATCTTGTCAATAGATACTTGATTTGATTGATTGTTGATTTTCCCAAAATACAGTAGGCCTACTGTTTTCGAATATGTGTTTATATTGCAAAAAAAAAAACGAAATAATATTTTCTAAGCTAGTTTATTTGTATCTCGCTATATAAAAGTTGGAGTAGAATATTTTTGAATGTTTGCACTACAAGAAAATACAAATATATTTAGTTTATTTTCAGTTATTATTGAACTTTCATGGCTCAAGTGGTATGCAAATAGTTATTATTGCCGTTTTTGCTTAAAAGAATAGCATTAATAATAATAGTTTTAATAATAAAATCCGATGGTAATGATATCTGATATTTCCTTGCATAACTGACATAGTTAAAAAAATACTGCATAACAATATTTCAAAGAAAATAAATATGTATTTGAACATAAGTCAAAAGGAGTAAAGTATGTCCCTCTTTTATTTTTAGATCCATGCAATGTTAGAGTCCATCTCGTGCAGTTTCACAAAGTGGAACAAACACATGATGGATACGAGAGACTACCAGGTGTCCTTCACCTTCGGACCATGTGACCACCAACAGGAAGTCATCCTGCGTGTCCACCTGCTCGACTTCATCTCCAAAGCTGTAAGAGGCTTATATAGTTTCTTTAACATGTGTCCTGTTAGAAAAGTCAGGTCAACTTTAACTACTGACATTGACACCAATAAATTGGATCAAAGCTAATCTGCCACCTTTTTTTTAATTTAGTGGTCAAGATTATAGCTTCTGAAAAACAAGAAGGCTTACACCATAGCATTTTCTTAAATAATGGCTAATTGATAAGTGCAGTGATATGACTCAGTTTGCCTGTCTCAATATTTTCCAGGGTTTCACAATACGCAACACATATGTTCATCACATGAGTGAACAGGCTAATGCAGTTGAACATCACTGGACGTTCTGCAGACGAGTTTGCCAAGTCGAATACTGATAGATGAACTGATGGATGAACTCAATGTATGGAGAAAAATTAAGACTCAAAGACTGTGTTGGCTTTGTTGTTATGTCGTGGATCCGATGTAACACTCACAACATTAAAGTATGAGACAAAGAGGACACATTAAAAACACAGACTGGTTGAAGTTAAATATTATATTGCTGTACAGCAGTATAAGAGACAAATTACCTTGCCCCACACCAGTCAAGAGCCTAATAGCATGCGGTACATTATAATTGTTTCAATGTTAAAGGTAGGATAGGTAATTCACTTCAGAAACACTTTTTTTATATTCCACGGAATGCTCTTAACATCCCGATAGCAATGAATACATGAAATGCTTTGACAATAAATACATACAAAAAATTCATCTGTGGAAGCCGTGGCGTTGTAAAAAGCATGACCATTTATTTTAGCTGACCTGGCTAAAATAACTGGATGGGTTACCTGCCTGTCAGCCTTCCATCTCGTGCAAAAACTTATCTCGTGGCCTCATTGGTCATGTGTGCGTTTGTGTGTGTTGGAGGAGGGGCTCTGTAAGGAAGTCTGAAGGAAGGGGCTGATTTTTTTCAGCTGCGTACTTTCAAATTCTAGCGCACTCGAGCTGGTTTCTCCATTCTTACCTACCCTACCTTTAAGCTTTGCGTCAGGCTCCATGATCAACCTCTTGGGGTGACCACCACATGTCTACCCTACTTTTATAATTTAGAATCGTAAATCTAATCGCCAGAAGCAAAATGCTAATGTTATGCTATAAATGAACTACAGCCGAGGACAGCAGAGTCCTCTTCAACGTCACGCCAACTTAAGATCGATATTAAAAAATACAGATTAAAAATTGTACAAGTTGAAGCGTTTGTTTTAACAGTTTGCAAGAGCACAGGTACAAACAGGGGCAAACAAACTTAGCGGGAGTGTTTACGTGTTCGGCGTAATGACGTACAACGTCCTCGACAACTTCTGTAGTCCTATTCAGCCACTTGTTAACAACCATCGTTTTTCAGACACGTAAACTCTTCAAAAATCACCAGTGGGGTCACTGCAGATGTATTTAATGTGGTAGAACAAAACGTGATCCGTCTCTTAAATTTGTGTCAAACACAGACCTTATTTCGAGCTATTTTCCAAAATTCTATGGAGAAATCCCATTGACTCCGAGACGAGGGAACCGGTAGTGGTCAAATGCTAACTCACTTCCGGGTTTTAGGACTCGTCACTGCACCACTCTATTCCTTAAACTGACTTTTGACCAATCAGATCTGAGTATTCAACTAACCGTGTAATAAACTATTATATATATCTGTAATTTTAAGGTTAAATTATGTCTACATACTTTTGCCAACATAAATCTGGCAAGTTAGCATTATCGGAAATCCGTGGTACCTCCATGACAGACCCGGCGCCAGGCCCTCCCATTTGACATTCCTGCCATCCCCCAATAAGCATGTTTTGTATTATTTATAAAAATTTAAAAAATATATATATTTATTTTTGTAATTATAAATAAACTTTGAACTTACGAGCTACGATGTATGTGATGTCAGATAGTAATATAAGAGTAATACATGAAAAACAGGTATGAAATACTATATGACAGTAAAACAATGAAAAGGGGAGTTGTTAGAAATTGCATGTGTGTAACCCTCCTGTCCATAAGAGGCACTGTGTAGGGAACCAGGTAGAAGTTCCTCACAGGCTATAAATAGAGGCCTGGATGAGGACTTCCTCCTCTTTGTCCTCAAACACCCACACCAGGATTGAGTGTTTGGAAGCTGTTCGCCATGCCTTTTGATTTAACAATGTAAGTAGAATCCTCTTTGTAATTTGGATGTTTGCACTTAAGTAACCTCAATGGTATTGAACACATTTGTTGTTCAATGTAGTAATGAATATAATTTAGTTCCTATTTAATATAATTATGGCAGACGT